AGGAAGCACTATCAAAGCTGTGTTTTCCGAACAGTTTAAACTAAAGTGTGTCTCTATACTAAAAGCATTACAATCATTATGCCAAAAGACAATGCTTATATAACCTTGTTTTTTAAATAAACTAACTGCTTTTGAAAGATCAGCTTCTGAACAACAAATTTTCAACAACTTCTAAAATCAGCTTTTTTACAGCTACAGTCGAAACAAACAAACCCTTAGACAAATTAAGAGAATATATTCTGCAATACTATTAAATGATGAGTCATGAGTTACGTATTTGGAATCTCTTTAGGAATATCAAAATAAACATGATGTTATGAAGTTTATAATAAACACTTGTAAAAGTTTATACACACTGCATGTTAAAGTACCTTCATATTTTTTGAAAGTATTGTAGGTGAAATAAACTAGATTTCCAGAAGATTTAGAAGGATTCCTATGACAAGCCAAGAGAATCCTAATGCAATTTTTCAGATAAGACATTTTATAATATTTTTTTATTAGAATTTCTTAGAAGGGAGCCCAGAAAGAATTTCTCATGAAGACCTCTTAGAGAGGAATTCCTTAGAAAAAAATTTTTGGTGTTTATTGCTTCATTAGTACTCAAATTAATGAAATATTATTATGATAGTATTTGATCTTATCATATTACTTCTGACACATACGTGTAAGTAGTACTTCGTGCGTCAAATCATTAGTAAATGAACCTTGATTTAGATAGATTTAGAACATAATTTTTTTTTATGGTCAAAGTAAATGATCCTCTAGTCATTGTAATCCTAATGTATAAAAAATATGCAAATTTGAACATTTTTTTGGCATTGAATTACCAAATTTAGGCAAAGTTAAACATATTAATCTCTAACTTTTATAAGTTTCTAATTCACGACTATCAAATCTTTGGTGTTCAATGAAGTAACATTGCTCGTCTTAATGAAAAAAAAAATTCAATAACTATGTTAAGCCTAATGATCTCACTTCTTTATCATTGCTAATTTACATCTCTAAAACATTCACAAGTTATTATAAGATAATTTGAACATTTAATTTTTCAACATTCAAATCCTTGGTTTTCAACATTATGATCTTCAAAACACTATTTTTAATTATAGACTTGCCATTTTTTATTTTATTTCCCCTAAAATTTTCTCCCATTGGGTGGCAATTGGTAGAGTACACAAAGGTTGGTTTTGCAAAAGAAGGACATTTTTGTAATAAAATAATGAAAGGTGAGTGCTAATGGTCCCCAAAGAGACAAACTTATGTGGCCATGAGTACGGGGAGAGGTTGGGCTATCAATTTATTAGGTGGATTAGAAGGTTTTGATTAGATTATTCAAGTGATGTATTGTTTATGATGGTAATAAAGTATTGTTAAGGGGAAAACTTTTGAATAAAATGTTATAAATTTATTTGTAAATTAAAAATTACATAAATTTGTATTATTTAAATATAATGAGAATATCATGTACTAACTTTAAGCCAGACTTTACTGAAATTATTTGCAAAAATTAGGCCCCTTTTTTCATCATTAAGTGAATGTTATAAAGCATATAGAAAGAAGATTTGTTTATCAAAGATGGCCCGCCCAAACTCACTTTCCTATGATCTATAAATGCATTTTTATTCAACTTTAAATAAAATATTGGATATGTAAAATATACACAAGTGGGCTTTGATGGTTTGAAAAATCATGAGAATGATGAACTTTTTATTTCAAAAAGTTGAAGTCGGTGTTTGATGAGTGATTCAAGGTCTGTTTGGAGCGGCGGTGCAACACAACACCACAGTTTTATCTGTTTGGGTAAATTGTTTTTTGCTAGTTTTTTAAAAAAGTTGTTGTTGAAATCTGTGTTCTCCCACCACTCCTGGCTAAGTGTGGTGGTCTGACTTGAAAAAAATTATAATAATGACCGTAGTTTTATGAGTATTAGATTATCATTCAGCAGCTTCACAGTTGTTTTTTAATAAGCGTGTCTGCCCTAAATAGAACTTGTGGGTTGTAGTATAGTTATGGTAATAATTGAGTTGAGTCGAGATGAGTAGGACGTTGATTGGATTTGGTTTATCATATTATAAGTTGTTCATGTTCGGCTAAGTCGAGTCTGGTATGACGTTGATTGGATTTGAGTCATCATATCATGTTCCTCTTGAGTTTGAGCCGAGCATTCACATGTATGCCATGCTCGACTTGTTTAAATTTTTTAAATATCATATTTTATTTTATACTTGACTTGTTTATATTAATTGAATACGTTTTTCAATGAATTTTAAACAAATTAAAAATGAGTATGAGTATTTAAAATTTCATATAAAGTTATTAACTTATTGAATAAATTCTCAATTATTTTCTAATTGCTTTATAAGACATAAATAGATACTAATAAACGGTTTCATTAAATTAAATAGATAAATAAATAAAAATTACATTAATTTAGTAGGCATATTCACTAATAACAAATAAACTATTTTAAAAAAAATTAAAATTTTATGAATATTCTATGGATAAAAAGCATTTTGTGTAAAACAACCAATCCAAATGAAAGGGGAGAGTTGAACAAATCAAGGCTCTTAAAAGGGCAAAAAGAATAAAAGATATATGCTATAATTAATGTGATTATATATTTGATAAATGCATCATCAACAAATTTCTAATAACTAGCATGAATCTCGAGGTATGGTGTGGATCTCGAGATAGTTTTTTTAGCAAAAAACATTCAAATTTAATTAAAAGTTATCCCAAGTTTTGATTTCAGCAAACTTATAGTCAAACTGACTGTCTCGATGAGACGAATCTGATAATACTAAAACTGATCTAATCCAAGTCAAATCAAGCTTAGATCAAGCCATTAAAATCAATTTGAAAGTTTTCTTATAATATTTGGGAGATCAAATGAAAATCAAATCTGGTGAGCTTATAGTCGAATCGAGTGTCTTGAAACGACGAATCCAATGAGCTAGAGATAACTAAATTTTAATATCATTAAGGTACTCAAATGTCCATCAAACACCGTCTGATCGAGGGAAGCTCTCTGAGTCGTCCAATCAAAATGGTTCATATTTCAGCATTAATTTGACTCAAAACTCTATAAAAGAGTCTAATCCCTCTCATGAAAAGGGAAGGAGAGCTTGAGGTTTGAGGAAGATCCTGAAGCTTTGAGAAAGAGCAGAAGTTCAGCATCACTCCTGCCGTCAGCGATCATGGTCGACTGCCTTCGACCACCGTTGACGGTCGGCCTTCGACCACCGCTGACCACCGTCAACTACCACTCATCGGTTATTGCCAATCAACATTGTTCGTCGCTTGTTAATTACATCAAGTTTATCCACATATCGACGTTATAATTCAGAAGACTTTGTAGTCAATGTCCGCATGTGGGACATAAAGTGGATTTTTACAACTGGATCAGACTAGTGTTTTTTTCTCTTTACAGGTTTTCCATGTATACTAGTTGTTTTCTATCTTCTGAGTGTGTGTTGATTCTTCGTATCATGCTAAGACAATAGTGCATTACCCTATTGTCGCGAATTTTCTAGCATGCATCAATTTGTATAATAAATAAATAATTAGTATTAAAAAATATATTGGTAAAGTTCATGCTAATTAATAACTTGGTTAAATTAATAAAAAAATATTAATAGCGTAAATATATCATTACATCATTACCCTATCTTCCAGATATGTTGTTGCACCATCTTTTGAGTGTGTTGTTGCCCCTACAGGTTAGCCTGGTGTTTGGGAAGATGTGTCGCTTCACATGTTGCTTCGTGAGACCTCGGCTTCATTTGTCACTTAACAAAATGCTTTGTCGTAAGAAGTGGGCAACGACCAATGGTATTCGGCGGCGACTGACGAGTGATGGTAGATAGTGGTTAGTGGTTGTTGGTGACGTTAAGAGTAGAAGACAATTTCAGCTTTTATTCAAGCTCAAATATTCTTCAGGATTCAAGCTCTTTTACCCCTTCCTTTTTAAGAGAGGTGGGACTCCATTTATAGAGTCCCAGTTGTCATTGATGACGAAATATGAACTAATCAAATCAGACAATTTGGAGAGATTCCCACGAACTGACGACATTTGATAGACATTTGAGAGCATTAACGATGTTGGAATGAAGCGGTCTTGGGTTTGTTGGATTTGTCTTGCCAAAACGCTCAATTCTACAATATGCTTACCCGATTCAACATTTGTTTGACTTTCAATATGCCCGAAAAACTTCCAAAAGTGGTTTGATGGTTTGATCTAAGTTTGATTTGACGCTGATAGGACCAATTTTGGTATCATTGGGTCTGTCTCGTCGAACCAGTCAGTTTGACTATACGTTTGTTGAAATTGAAGCACTCAATGATTCAAAATCAAAGTTTGAATAATTTTTGCTCAAAAGAATGCCTCGAAATTAGTGTCAGGGCTCGAGGTTCATGCTCGAAGTATGGATTTTGTTGATATGGCATGTCCCTTATGTTGGGTGAGAAGTGAGAAAATTGAGGAAATAGATTCGGAAGATTGAAAGCAAAACTTTGAAGAGAAGCGCACTAAATAAGAAAATCACATAAAGCATAACTCAAACAACATAAAATTGAAATGAGTAAAAATTCGAGAAAGGAAAAAAACTATGGATCTATGCCACACATTGAAATCCACTATGAAGAAAATGAATTACACCGCACTCATACAACTCATGAAAAGAAGAGTTACAATAAAAAAAATGAAATGAAATATTAAGGTTTAGAAGGGGAAAACCTGCAAATATCACATTTATAATTATCTTAATATAGTTGTGTAAGAAGAGTAATATTTATATTTGTATAAAATACCATGACATTTTACAAAAGCTACAAGATAGTCCAATTTTATCTCAAAACATAATGCTTTTCAGCATTGAAATGCAGAAAATCATCTCATCTTTTCATAGAAATTTTCAAGATTTTTACATGCATTTATTTATTTTTAATAAAAAATTTATAGTTACACCCATCTTACAATATTTATCTCTTTTAAATATTTAGATATATCGTATTTTTTCAATCATTCATGCGACCATCATGACAATAAGCTAAAGATTCATATTATTTATCAGACAAAGAAGTCACACTAAATTATGTTATTCTAATTAACCCATCATCCTATAAAACTCATGATAATCCAATACACCGTTACCATCAAGATCATAAACCCTAATCATGGCAGCACACTCGTCCTGTGTTTTCTCCTCCCCAAGCCTCCCAAACACTTTTTGCAATCCTTTCGGGGTGATGCAACCCTCCCCTTCATCCTCTCCTTCAAACATCTCAAAAGCCCTTCGAATATCTTCTTCATAATCCTCTCCTCCACGCCCCACGCCCTGTCGTCGACCACCATCCACTAGCTGAACAAAATTGTAATAATCGATGAATCCATCGTCGTCTACATCGAGATCACGCACCACAATCGTTGCCTTCTCTGGCAATACGTGGTCGCCAGTCCATCCTAAGAAGGACCTCAGCTCATCGCTCGATATGCGACCATCACCATCAGAATCTAAGCGACGGAAAATCTCTTGGAAGCTATCTTTCGACTCATGTTGGCAAAAGATCTCTTGGGAGCTATCTCTCGGCTGCTCTATCGCCCGTTTCCTTGCCCGACCAAAGCCATGGAAGTTAAGCTTCGTGAGAGTCTTATTGGTGAACCACTTAGCGCGCTTTGTAGTCACCATTCTTTCAGAATAGATCTGTGTTTGTGTGCACGCGCATGTGAATGAGAGATTGTAATTAAGAAGAGAGGGATGAATGGGCATATATAGAAAGGAAGAAAGGAGGTGGAGGGGAGGGGAGGATATGTGGGAGGAAAGTGCATGGGAGCTTCGCAATAATGAAGAGGAAGAAGTTACGTAGAAATCTTAAGGGGGAATTAATGGAGTTTATATGGAAAAGGACAAAGGAGTTTGCGTGTTCTTTGGACTAAAGTTGCTGCGGCCTTCGTCCTTTTTCTTATTTACATATAGCATCGTTCCTACTGTCGCACCATTGATACGCGTTTAATTGAATTGGTGTAAAGATATTAAGGCGAGCCGAACACGAGCTGTTCACGAACAAAAAGTCCTTTTAACAATCATAATCATGTAACCATAAGACAATAAGGATTTGAGCAAGATTTAAAAATTATTATTTATATTAAAGCATCATTTGAATCTAATTTAATAATTTTTATTCTATTTTCTTAATCAATATTTTAATCTAAATACAATCTTAGATTCTAGTGCTACCAAACACCCCATGTAGCAATTGATGTTTTTCCTTTAACTTTAATATTAGAAGCAAAAATTATGTGTGTTGTTTAGATTCATCTGAGTTACATGTACGATATTGTTGTACACATGAAGTTTGAATGTATCCGAACTCCACATGCATATAATATTATCCTTTTCAATAGTAAAGAAAAAAAAATAAAATCATATAAAATAAAATCATATATGATTATTGTATTTTTCTTAATTTTTTTTAAATATTGATGCTAATATATATATATATATATATATAT